CGGTGTTAAAATCACTCCACTGGCTCCCTGTGGAGTACAGAATAAAGTTTAAAATCCTTCTCTTAACATATAAAGCCATAAATGGCTTGGCTCCTTCTTATCTCCAAGACACGTTAGTGTCGTATCAACCAAGTCGAGCGTTGCGCTCACAAAACGCCAGACGTCTGGTGGTCCCTAAGGTCTCAAAAATCACTGTTGGCGGCAGAGCATTTAGCTACCAAGCTCCTTTACTGTGGAATCAGCTTCCCATTTATGTTAAGGAAGCAGATACGGTCTCCACATTCAAGGCCAGGCTTAAAGCACTTTACTTTAATTTAGCATATAATTAGGTAATATATAATATATGGTGTATATATTATATATGTATGTTGTATTATGTTATATATTATATTATATATTATACAATAATGTATTGTGTTATGTTGTATATTATGTTATATATTATGCTGTATGTTATGTTGTGTATTATATATGATATATATGGTATGTATGGTATATATGATGTATATGATATATAATATATAATTAGGTTTGCTTGGATCGGTTTGCACACCTGTTGTGCAATCCATGAATCTCTTTATTCAAGGCTAGGTTTAAAACAGTCCTCTTTAGTTTAGCATATGGCTAGGAAGGTAAGACTCAGGGAAGGCTAAACTCCTCAGACTGTCAGTCAAGCTGCATAGGGAGTCAGTTTGGTGGGAGAAGTATGGTAACTTGAGCACTATCCTCTCCTCCTTCCTACTTTATTTACTTTATCTGTTTAGCACTTTTAGGATTCTGACTGTAGTTTGTTCATTGCTATTCACCCGTTGTCCCATTGTCTGTTTCATGGTACGATGACGGGATCTCTGAGCCTGGCCTCCTCCATCTACACCTGCGGACTGCCCCGCCCGACCCGCCTGGGAGTGCTTCAGTCCTGCACCGGACCTGTCCACGTTCAGCGGCCACTGGTCCACGTTCTGTAGCTAGCTTAGGTCCTAGATCATTAGCCTGTCCGTCCGGAGGAGCGGATCCCTTTCTCAAATGGGTCTCCCTCCCTGTGGTTTTCCCTAGTGCTCCCCAAGGTTTCTCACTTTTTCCCACTGGGTTTTTTAAGAGTTTTTCCTTGTCGATGCAGGAGGGTCTTGTTGGACAGTTAGTGTCCAACAGAAAGGATTGGTGATGATCAGGACACTTTAGCATTCTACAACATGTATGGACATTTTCTTCTGTGTGTGCTTTATATTCTCCATGTGTTTTGGCTGTTGATTCTCTGACCTGTGTTGGTGATTTCAATGGTTTTGTTAAGTCCTCTGAGATGACTTCTGTTGTGACCTAGGGCTATACAAGAATAAATTGTATTGTATTGTATTGTATGTATGTATTGTGTTTGTATTTGTTGGGTAGATGTTTGTTAATAGGGTAGACATTATAAGCCACGGCTACACCTTGGCTTGGCTTCATTCATTCACAAATATGTACTACTATGACTATTTTTTTATGTTTGGATTTGTTTTTTACTGTTTCATATTTCATTGTTTTATTAAATAAGCAGCTCAAGCAGAAGTTCAAATTGGTAGACTCCCTACGTCACCGCACCAGGCTGTCCCACACCTTCCTCAGCCTCACATCGGCTTCACCAACTCCCTACCAGCCGCTAATCAAGCCAGAGCTAAAAAGCCGGACACTGCACACCAAACAGCCTTTTCAAGCTGCAGCCACCTCCTCCTCCACCTCCTCCTCAGGATTTCTTCACTCGTTCACATCCACGTAGCCCTGTTTCCACCACCAGTGTCTAGGTCCCGGGGATCATGATCTACACTTAAGCACAGATACTCAGAGCAAGGCCACAGCCGGAGCTGTGTGCCAAACTCATAAATTAACAAACAAAACTTGCTATCAATAAATCTTTTAAGTAAGTAATCTTTATTAATATAGCGCCTTTCACAGACCATAGTCACAGAGCACTTTACAATTGTCACTCCACACAGAGATGGGAGGTGCTTGCCAGACCTATTATACGTGTTTTTAGTGGTAGGGGGAAACGGAGCACCCAGAGGAAACCTACGCTGATTCGACTGTAGTCTCTCCAGGTTGGTATGAACCTATTGTATTAGTTATAAACCCATACATCTCAAACAAAAGCTTGAGACCTGAGATTTTTCAACAATCATTCTTCAATAAATGCTAAACAAAGAAACCAACAGTGAAACCACACTCAGTCTGACGCACAGACAAATCAGTGACGGAACAAGGTTTTACTGCAATGTTGTCAAACGAGGCCCATTGTTGGGGTCAAGTTTATGTTTGTGACAAAGTTAGAATACATTTACAGACGACGTTTGCGAGAGAGAGAGGCTAAGACACAATTTTTTATCACAGAGCAGTCTCACTGAACTCTCACTTTGCTGAACTCTCACCATCGACTCCCACTGTCTGCTGTTGTTGTGTCCTTGGGCAAGACACTTAACCTCTGGGAACACCAGCCACAGTGGGGCGGCTGTGGCTGTAAAGTGCCAAACTGCCATTGTGTCCTTAGGCAAGACACTTTAGCCCCATTGACTAGACTGAGTCTGGTGTGTGTGTTCATACTCTTATGTAAGTAACTCAAAATGTCACATGTTAGAATATAAATCTTTGGGGAGCTACCTTGAAGGGGGTGGTGAGCTACAGGCTGGAGACCCCTGCTTTAGATGCAAAACTGCATTTTGTTGCATTGTTGTCACTTTATAATGACGATAAAGTTGAATCTAATCTAATCTAATCTTGAGAAACATATCTCAGAGAAAGACATTTTTGGAACTCATAAAAAATATGATTCGTCTGTTCAACAATTCCCATCACAGTTTGACAACCATTAAAAACAAATCCCAATTCATAACAAACTTTCTCCAGACCCTCATCAGTTATCAGGTATCAGTAAAATCCAGAAGCAGAACCTAAACTGTTACAGAAGCAGGACTGAACCATCTCTGGCCTCCGCACACTTCAGCAGCCCACGGTGACTGACGCAGCCCACCTCGCCTCTCCTCCATCTGGGCTCAGAGCACCTCCAGCTTCTCCCTGAATAACCACAGCCACTAGCAAATGGGTCTTTGAAGATTAGAGAGAAAATATCATTAATCGACTTTTACAAAAAACATGTATCTTTAATGCGCATTTTTACATCCATCCGTGTTCCTTAAAACTGCAGGTCTAAAAACATGACAAACAATAATAGTGTGATTTCTGTAAGGGGGTGGGATTATAAAGGAGAACTTCTAAAGCAGTTTACGCAATCCAAAACTCAACTAAAAAGATCTAAAGCTCTCAGTTCTTCCTCTTTCTGGTATCTATTGGACACAATTGTCGTAAATGAAGAAAACTTGTGAACTACTCTCTCTTATGGACAAAACACATTATTGTGTATCATCATTCATTTTTATTTATTGATTTATTTGACAGGGACAAGTGAACACAATCAACATGTGAAACAATACATTTATAGCCATGGCTAATTTGCAACGTCTGTCCCTAACTTTAGACGCTTGCTGGTCTGGGTCACTTTAAGATGTGTCTTGAAGATCTGAGTGTAAACGCATCCTAAAGCTCTGTATATTGATATCAAACCAATACATACATTTACAGGTTCATTCAAACATTCAATTTTCCCTCTCAAGAATGAATACCGTTGTAAATCTGCCGACATGAAGAGGTGGTTTTATTATTTTCCAGAACGTTTTTTAAAGTCCTGACACATTTATAGAGTTCATATTTTACAACAAATAGCAGATTTACGACTTCTAGTAAAGTAGTGTTGGCTTAAGTGGCACCAAATTGGCTTATCGACATAGATATACTTTCCTCTCTCAAAATGGGCCTCACCCAGGTTTTAAAACGTTTCCCAATGTTTATTTTTATTATTTTGATGACGCAGGAGGCTCTCAGGACAGTCATGATCCAGGACAACTTTGTAAAGTCCTCTGCTGTTGTGATTAAGAGCTTTATAAGTGAATAGTTTGATCAATACTGCTATAACTCTTACTATACTCTAGAATCCCAATAAATGATCAATCCCCAATATAAGCAGGCTATGCGTAAATACACCCGCAGTACCCGAGGTCGTCCAAGGGAATAGAACAGCAGTAAGTAGGTACAGTAAGTAAGTCATCTTTATTTATGTAGCACATTTTTTCAGACCAAGGTTCAGAATTCAGATTTTGTTCCATTCTCTTGATCAAAGCGAAACGGCGAACACATCAAAGCCCCCAACCAACACCATCCAGTCGTTCACTAAATACATTCAGACCTACAATGCATGATTTTTAGCAGTAAGGGGAAGCCGGAGCACCTGGAGGAAACCTACGCAGACACAACATGCAAACTCCACTCAGAAAGGCCCTGTTCCGACCGGGAATCGAACCCGCAGGACCTTCTTCAATCATCACACCCATACAGGCAGGATGGGGAAACCAAGAACCAGATCTCTGTTTTGGAACCGTATGCGCAAAACAACAGCCACGCATCTTAAAGACATCGCTCCAAACCTCTCCAAAAAAAAAGACGCAGCTATTTTTTCCCCCCTTCTTCTCATCCACCTGTGCGCGCGTCCAAACCATACCGGCATTTTAACCCAAAGCCCTATATTCTCTTGAGGGGAAACCGCAAAAACCAGAGAGGCAGCATCTTGCACATGTCCTCCAGTTAATGAATCAATTATGGATCCTGACAGGTGCAAGCGCGCATCGTTCTTATTCATTTGATAGGATTTTAAAGCGCACGGCACGCGTAAACATGGACTGGATCTTACCTTGTTTGTGGAGATCTCCGTCCCCGTGTGCGTAAAGAAGAAAGAAAAGAAACAAAATATGTTTCGGGTCTTCAAATGGTCTGTTATTACTCCTGCCGACCACGGGTTCTGCTGTGATTCAGTCCGCTCGTTTCGCAATCTCTCTGCTTTTTCTTTTCTTTTTTTTTTCTTTTTGGTTGTAGTTGCTTTTTTCCCCCCAATCCAGTCCCTCTGCCCTCTTGTTTTCTACATCATGCGCGATAATCTACAGGTGATCCACAGAGAGACGCATCACAGGGGGGGGGAAGAGGTGGGAGAGAAGCCGAGCGGAGAGCAGCCATCCCAGGCATCTCTCTCTCTCTGCGTCTGCTCGCGGTGTGTGGAGGTACAGCTGCTGCAGAGACCTCCTCCTCCTCCTCCTCCTCATCCTCCTCCTCTTCCTCACGCGCGCAAACAGGTTTCTGCTGAAGCTGCGGCTGCTGCCAAAACTGCGCCTGCTAACATAAATTAAAATGCACTAGATAACATTACGTCAGCACAGACAGATACAGGGGGCACAAAGGGAAACATGACAGAACATATTTGCAGAGACGATCACATGGGAAGCGGAATTTTTGTTTTGTTTTGCTTGATCAGGTCCAATTTAAACTTGTTGGTCTGGGTAACTTTTACTGCTCTTTTTATAAGTAAACTATGACGCGCGTCCACGAATAAGGCATTTTCCCCACGTGAAAAAAAATGTGTTACTTGTGCTTATGAAAGATTTCTAATGTGAATGTGTGCAACAGCAAGAGATTTTTAACTTGCTTTTTCATCATGCTAAAGTTAGAGATTTTATTTTATTTTAGTATGGAGTTATTGTTTGCTTATTTTGTGTTGCGTGCTCCTCATTCCTACTGTTCTGTAACCGGTGAGGCAATACTGAAATTCCCCTGCACTAATGGGATTAATAAAGGATCTCGTCATTAAGTGCACTCTTAGTGGTATAATAAAGTCATTACGACACATGTAGCTCCTAAGCACTGAATACTGATGCAAACCCTTTACCATCGTGAGGGGCTTCTGCTGGCTGATTTTTAACCCTAGAAACCACAACCCCAGTCCTTTCCGTTTCTTTTAGACTTGATTTTAGAATGGTCTCCTTTATTGATATTAATCATATGAATATTGATTATACATTAAACAATCTTAACCTTACAATGTGCATCTTTCTGTTATGTGTTTGGTCTCTGCGGTCCACAGGGTCAGGCTCAAACCCATCCCAGACTCTGGCCTTTTCACATTTTGTCTGTACATTTTTTGACCAGGCTTTAAAAGACAGTAACACAGAGGCACTTTATCTCATACAACTTTGTCTTGATTCTTAAATGTATTTTATTGACATGCTGTTCATGCTTGTGCTCCCATTGTTTGTTTCATGGTGCAATGTTGGAATCCGTGGACCGCGCCCTCTTCGACCTGGATCTGTGAACTGGAACCGGCCCAGACTTTGATGGTCTTCACTTCCTTCCTCTTTCAGTCCTGGAGCTAGCTTGTTAGCTGAATTTGCTCACACTACTCTAGTAAAAAACAAATTCTCCTCCTGCTGCAGTTGAATACGATCAATTAAGACGCATGTATGTAAACCCGTTAGCGCTGATAGAGGAGAGAAAAACCAGTCTCTTCCGAGGAGCTGGTGCTGGTTCTAATGCGGTTGAGTTGCATCTTAACCCAACAATCGCATTGAAATGAGACAACAGGAAAAGATGCATTTAAGAGCACAGGGATAAGCCAAACTTATATTCAAAATGTACGTATTTGGACTGATGTATTTTGAATTGACTTTGTTTTCGTGATCAATGTTATCTTTAGCTACGCAAAGCAAAAATGAAACTTTACAGCCACCATGTTGCTTTTAACACTCAAACTCCCAGAGCAGTCCATTTGACGGCTTTTTGTTTTGGAAGTGTATTGTAACTCTGCTTATGTAGGTTTTTGGTCTTCATAACTGTATGTTCTGTTTCTATATATAGTATATTTCAATGCGATAATGTTTATTAAATCATCTCGATCCTAAATTACCTGGTTACCATAGCAACACTGTTTACTTGCATCAGAAGGTATTTTGTTCTGCTGTATATCAGTTATATTAACCAGTTTTACAATGTATTATATGTACAAACCGTATGAGCAGAAGACATTGGTCATCCAGCCTTTTGACCAATGCCTTTGTACAATTGTATTTCCTATGTTCCTCTAATCTGTCGTGGGCAAACTGACAATTTTGTGATTCAGGGCCATGCAAGAATATACTAAACTGGACTGAACTTAAACGCCTTGACTTTGCTCACTCCATTAACAAAGGTTCATTGAATGTTTATGTGAGCTCTGTTTCAAAATCATTCAGAAGAATAGACCAAGAAGGCTGGAGTAAAAGCGGAAAGTTTTTTGGTGGTGTTCGCCGGCTCTTTATCAGTCTGGCGGTGTCTGTCTCTCCGCTCTGGTTTGTAACGACCTCATATGAAGTGACAGCTCCTTCTCCACAGCTGTCAACTTCCTCATCAGCTCTTGACTGCTTTGATTTGTGTCGAGTCCCGAGGAGTTTATATCTTATTCAGACGGTTTTCGGGGTAAATCTGTCATTCTAACTGCAACGGCTTCAGAATGCACTGTGGCGCTGCGGAACATGGTGGAGTCTCATCTAAGTTTGGACACCCCTGATGTTGGTGTTTGCTTGATTTCATGTTGAACAAATTGTTGAAAAAGAAAGTTTTCCCAAGATCAATATTTGATAGAGAATAGATTCACAAACCTGAATATTTTACTTACACAAGAATATACTGAATTTATACTTACTCCTTATTATGCAAAAGTCAGGGGTTTTTTGTACTTTTCCCCAAACTTTAGGATGGAACCGCCCCCTCACTTTTTAACAAAACTCTCTGGTCATATTTGACGAGCACGTATCACCAGAATGATTGACAACTGGGAGGACCAATAGTCTTGATGATCCACCCGGAAGTAGAACGTCCTCCTATCTTTAAGTCTTGCTTCATCATTCTAAATTTGAAGATTTTAGACTTCTTTCCTTATCCTGCTAAAGATATAGATTTTATACTGCTTCTTTTTATGTTAGAGATTTTAATTCATTCCAGATTTTATTATTCATTTATCTTGTGTTGCATTTATTATGTGATGCAACATTGAAATTTCCCCTGTTGGACAAATAAAGGAACTCTCAATCTTGAGCCTTTTCTACTGGCCAACATCATGCAGTATGTTCTTGAATATTGTCACCACTTGTGGCTACCTGACACTTTTACTACAATGTGGCTTTAATTTGAATTTGCCCTAAACTAAACTAGAAATCTGACTTTTGACGCATACCATAGCGACTGTTGTTGATTTTGGGCGATACAGATACAATGATTTGATTTGACAGTTTGCGTTACATACACGGCACAGGGTACACAGTAAAAAAGCAACATTATAGAAAGGTAGTGGGAAGTAGAAAAACATGTTGTCTCACCTCTGTTCAAAATGATAAACTTTGTAAGATTGTGTTAGTACAGATATGAAGCTTTAGCGCAAATTCAGGGTGGAAGACTACATGCTTCAGTTCTACAGTTCCATCCCATCCAGGGCCAGCCTCTCCAGCCTCAGCCAATCACAGAACTCGGCCAGCCCCCTTGCCAAACTATGACAGCGAAGTGAGCAGTTTAAAAGCAGCCACTTCGCGCTAACCAGCGCTTCTTGAAGCTCTTGCTCCCTCTTTGCTCCTGCTCTAGCTCCTCCTTTAGCTCCCACTTTGGCTCCTATTATGGCTCCATGCTCTGGCTTCTGCTCTGTCTCCTTCTCTGGCTCCTCCTCTGGCTCCTGCATCCCCTGCTCCCCCTGCGCCTCATTCACACCATGCCCTTGTCACCTCCAGTGGTTGACTCCGGGGGATCTGAGATCATCTTCAGCAGGAGTGATCTCCCCTCTGCAAGTGTCACTGCTGGGGTCAATGCACTGATCAATAAACCTCTTGAATTGCTGCCCTTCATCATGGCACATCCATAGTGAGTAAAACAGATCGTTTTTAGTGCCATTCAAATACTTTTTCACCCCTTCTTGAGCAAATTATTTTAAAAGTTTTGCCGAAAACAACATGTTGAAGAATGTAGCTTGAGGAATACAACTCTTTGACACATTTTCAGAAGGGAAATATCTGTTGTTTTGCAACTGAACCTTTCAAGTACTGCTCACAACATGTTCCTGCTTTACAATCATTTATGGACAAAACTTGTGACTTGAATCTTAACCACAGTCGATGCCGACCTCAGCATTTAAGACATTATTAATTTTTCAATGCCCTTTTCCTCTTTACAAAACCCCAGCGTGAGCTCCAACGTGGAGAGAATAAGAGCTGTCAATCACCGGCCAGGGGTGGGTCCCAGGTGTACGCGGCAGCCAATCAGAGTGTGTTGTGTAAATGTTAAACAGTTTAGAGCCAAAGGTCCAGGTCGTCCATGAGCGGAAACTGAAAGATGACCTTCAGCGTGAAGGATAAAGCACAATGTGTCCAAACGTGCACAACATAAGAGATAGACCTGGCTGTGGTGGATGTTTATGCTCAGGGAAATTGTCCTAATGGAAGATAGCGAGTTTTCACCAAGAATTAACTTATGTTGTATCAATACTTTTTTTTTACAATTTAGCGTTCACTTTATAATTTGTTGTGGTTTTTCAACAACAATAACAAATCACGAATAAATCTTTGTGTTTGTAAACATAGCTAAATGTGCCGAGTGTGTAATGTGCAATGTGTAGTATCCCCAGTGTTTCCTCTGCAACACTGGGAGCGGCAGTCTGCTGTGGCTGCGGGGGTCTGGCTTTTGGATCTAGTAGGGGCCTGGGGCCTCCTCTCTCCTCCGGGTCCTGTCAGGGCCTGGCGGGGGGTCTGGGGCCTCCTCTCTCCTCTGGGTCCTGTGTCGTCCCCTGTGGTTGCAAGCGGCTCCTGGTGCAGATGGCTCCTTGGATGGCGCTTCTTCAGCTGGATACATCCGCACCCAGCCCTATATCTTTTCATAGTTTTACCTATTTTACCTATCTGATGTGACTTTATATGTGTGTGTGTGTGTGTGTGTGTGTGTGTGTGTGTACGGGTGTATGCATGTCGATGTATATCTAATAATTAGGGTGGTTTATGGGTGGGTCTGTGAGGCGGTGGGGTTTATTGCATGTTGTATTGATTTTGACTAAGCTGTAAAGCACTTTGTGTTGCATTTTATTGTATGAAAAGCACATTATTATTATTATATTGCACATGTAGAGGCTCAGCAGTTCTCGTTGTATAGTCTGACAGCAGCAGGAAGAAAAGACCTGCGGAAACTTTTCTTTACACAGCGAGGGTGAATAAGTCTGTCACTGAAACTGCTCTCCAGTCCTGCAGGAGGTGACAGACATGGTCCAGCATATATATGAGTTAGTCCTGGACCCTCTTGTCTCTCCTGACAATACTTTTTTGCTACTGCAGAGTCTTTGGACTGA